ACTACGAGAGGAGGTACAAGAGTCTATTTTATCAGTCTAGTTGAGTAAATTCGGTAGATATAAATCCCTAAAGTTAGGATCACATTTCCTAGTGTTCATTTCATATTTATCGATCATCACCCCGTCCTCTTCACCCATTTCTCTTCACTTTAGTCATCATGAAGATGGTTTATTTATTCGCACCTTCTCTCTTTCCAGAAAAGCCTCAATTTGGGGAAGGGTATTCCCATCTCAAAAAGGTTCTTCAAGATGAGGAGGCAGAGAAATACCAATTTTCGGCGCACTTCTTGTCTTCAAATGCAATCCACCACACGCCCAAAAAGAAGCCAGTAACACATTTTCACATTTTGAAAGGAATTCCTTTTCAACACACGTCGCAATGCAATATGAGCTTTCTTTCCTCTCCAATTCCTCCCCATTTTTTCCCATCTCCATTTTCTTTTCCCTCAATAAGATCCCTATATTTTGAGCAAGCCAATGTCATTTTATTGGCCATCATTTTCTCAGTTCAAAATATTCTAGATTTTTAAAAATATTCTAGATTAGTTCAAAAGAAGTAAAGAGCTTTTGTTTTTCAATTCTAGACTCTGGAATCAAATGGGAAAAAAAAATGGATAATGCAATTATTTTGCTAGTCGGCAGCACCATTAGAAAAGAAAAAAAAGAGGGAAATGGGAAGGGAGGAAAGTCTAATCGAATCAGAGAAGTGTGGCTTTTGATGTCCTTTTTTTCGTCCTATTTTTAATCTCTTTTGATAGAAAGATGCTTGAATTGCTGGATAAAATCTTTAAAAATCGAATTCTTTTAAGAAAAAACCATTCGAACCCGGATTTAATTGTTTGTTTTTGGTTTTGAAAGATGATTTTCTAGTAGCTCAACAAGGGAATCTTCTCAATTTCAGCCACAATCATGACCACGGTGCCATTCGGTGATAGGTAAAAAGCCTCTGGACGGGAAAGACCTCTTTCTTTTCCCCTCTTTTCCAATCCATTCCCCCATTCTATTCTTTCCTCTTTTCTCAAAGAAGCGTGACTATTTTTCGCACATAAATTGCTGAATGGCATTATTTAGTCACCGAAGCCTTTCTACCCGATTCTCCATTTATTCTCCGGCTATGTGAAAGCTCTCAATGAAATGAGAAAAATTGTAAAATGGTTTCGCTATTCCCCAACAATTCTTAGATCTAATGCTGACAGTGACAACACTGACACAATCCTCTTTCCCGGATTTCCGACAAGTTCTGCTAAATTTCTCAAATCAAACACAAAGCGATGATAACCTTGAAGGAAAAGGGTAGCAAAAGAAACAGAAAGAAAGCCCTTGTTTCGTTTTTATTTTTCGTCTCACCTGGTTGTAATGGGTATGTGAAAGGGTAAAAAGGAGATGAAGGGAAGGCACTCTCATATGCAAATTCCCCAATAGGTCAGATGAATGGGGGAAAAGTTAGAGAAGAGAAGAGAAAAGAGATGAAGAGGAAATGAATGAATGAAATGAGAAGAATGGAAAAGAATGGAATGGAATGAGTTGACCCAAAGAGAGATTTGGACAAAGTGAGGTGAAGAGGGAGATTAGTCCAGTCCTTCAACAATTTCTTTCACTTAGATCACGATTAATCGAGTAAGGGATCTCTTTTCAACATAATGAAGCAAGCAATTTGCATTGAATAATGAGCAAGACTCAGATTTCAAAGAAGAAAGTCAATTCGCACACATAAATCAACTCGGCTATTAGATTTGAATTAAAAACTGGAGTGAATATTACTTCTTTTACCGCAAAACAAGAAAAAAAAGTGATTCATGCACAATCGCTTATAATAAGGACAAAGATTTAACTGATTTCAAGAACTTCAAACTTTTGTGATATTTGGGTATAAAGATATAAAGATATTTGGGCACTTTGCATAATTTCAAGAACTTTAATATATCTTTAATTAAAAAGATTTCTAAACCTTTTTTCTATTTCCTATTTGAATTTGAATCTGATTTATGGAGGTATTTGAATCAAAACTTACAGTGAATTTGTCGTATTCCAATAAATCGCGTGCTCTTGTATTCGACCATCAATTGAAACAATCAAAGAAATTGTCATCAAGAATAAAAACAGAAAATTGAGATTCCCTTTGCTCAGCAATCCCGGATCAAAAATGCTCATTGTGCTTTTAAAAGGAAGCAATTTGAAGATCACACTCCTTCAAAAACTAAATTGCGCAACTAAATTTGTGTTTTGTTTTGAGAAACTACAAAATTACGATCAAAGAGTTTTAAGAAAACGAGAAAAGATGAAATGAATGGATTTGGGAAGGGAAGAGAATGGAAGAGAGTACGAGAGAGGAAAGAGAAATAGACACTCCCCTTTCCTTTCCTTGACTCCTCCCACTTCTCTTCGTCGGACACTCGATGCCTTTTTGAAAACAAATTTCCACAAGTAGATCTCCTAGATGTCCTGTGTTTCTTTTAGAGTTCTTCAAGCAGAAACCCCTCCACTTAAACAACAAAAAAAATTTACTTACATTTAGAATCTATTCGTGAAGCTATTGATACCATTCCACTCCTCTTAAACGAGATTTTCCGGCAAGCCTTCCTTCTTGTGTTTATCTGTGTCTTATTATACAATACATTTTCAAACCATCTCATCCTCTATTTCCACAGATTTTAGATTACAAATATCTCTTAACCCTTTTAAATGATATTTTTTAAAAAAACGCGGTAATCAAAGTGAAGATGGAAAACACCGGTTTAAACTCAATTAAACCTTGAAACAACAAAAGTCAAAAGAAGGCCTGAAATCCTCAAGACCGCATAGGTACCGTATTTATTCTATTTATAGAAGGGCATGCGCTTCTGTTAGAGGCCCCGCCCACCGGAGTGGTCATAAATTTGGCGTCAGATAACAGTGAAAAATTCTTTGTTTTGACACCAAAATCATAGGTTAAAAATTAAATTTTTGGTGCACTTTTTCTCCTGACGCGAGGACCTCTAACAGAAGCGCATGCGCTTCTATTAGAATAAATACGGTAATACAATAATTTTTGCACAAGATTTTAAAGATATATTCAGGTTTAGAATATGTATTTCAAGTATGGAAGGTCAACGTCTTCTCCGTTCTCGTCTTCAACCATCACCTAAACTGGCACATTCTATATCGTACGTCTGCAGAATTTACCTCTAGAACCAAAGATCGTTGATATGATGGAATCTCGTTCTTTGAAACTTCAGCCACCACATCACGAAGTCTACAAAAAAGGTTATTTTTTTAAAAAATCAAACATACTCCATGCCAAGTCGTTTATCGCGATTAGCAGCATTCATGAAGAACGAATAAATAAGGGAAGAAACCATTGTAACGCTTGAACCAGAAGCTTCATTCTAAAATGTTCATAATATTGAACGAACAGAAAAGATACTCCATGCCAAGTCGTTTATCACGATTAGCAGCATTCATGAAAAATGAATGGAGGCGATCGAGTGCATTTGTCTTCAGAGCCCACATCTAGGAAATACTTTTTGAGCGATAAACTTTCAAGAAAAGTAAACTTACAACGTTTTTTGAGATGTGTTGACGACAAAAATGCTCGATTGAGCTCCCACTGATCTACCCACAAATTTGATCTAAAAGATGGATAATAAGTGTAATTACAAAATATCTACCAATCGAGACGGTTTTGTATCGATATCATCGTATCCAAGAGGAATCGTGCAGAAGCTGCTCTGATTTGTGATATCACCGCTAAAATAGACTCAATTTATTGCGCTTTCCGCATAAAACATACCTAGCCGCATGTCGAGGCTGTTGCAATTTGTCGCCTTTTGTTTGTTGGTCGATGTTCATTTTGATCCTTTGATCCTTTTTTTCTTCTTCATCACAATCATCAGCCTTCAGATCTAAAAGTTTGCTAAAAAGGCTAATAGCAGACCACAGACGCACCCATAGTTGAATCATTTGTCTCAACAAGTGTCTTTTGTCCATCACACGATCTTTCATCGATTGATAATGACATCAAGGGTGCAAGCCTTTGTACTCTAACCTAGTCGTTTAGTTTATTTTTCGATCCTCACCAAATTATCAGTAAAACAGTAATGACTACGTGGTTGTACGCTCAAAATGTAGGCGTTAAAAATGTGTTACTATCTATTCGCTACAATGTCAACCACTTTTCACCCCTGAAACTCCTCAAAACCGTTGCACTGTCGGAGTCAGAGCTCGGAGTCGACCAGAAAATCCTCATCGGGAGAACACATTTTGGCTCCAAATAGGTATATGCAAACAAAGATTTTTTGGGGAAAACATAAATTTGAAATAAAGTACAACGAAGAAACTTGCGCGATTTTTGCAGAAAAAACGAAATTAGGGGCACCTTTTAGACATGCTTTGGATGGCTTGCGCCACCCAAAGCTTACGCTACCCGAAGCTTGTGCTACTCGAACACACGAAACTTTTTAAATTTTTTTGCACGCCAAAATCTAGGACACTTCGTTTTGGTTTTTTCGATATTTTGACGGCAAGCAGAAGTAGGCTATATCTATCTATGAATGGAAATGTACCAGAGATTGAATTCGACAATATCTGGTGATACTTTAGAAATGCGATCAGCCTGAAAAAATAGAGAACAATTGGATTGTATTTTTATCCGCCAGATCACCAGATCACAAGTATGTGCCAAACTGAAAAAAACATCAATTACGCTTATTCTTTTCAAAGGGAAATGATAACAGCGAGAATTTGGGTGCGTTTCAGATCTAACCATTAGTACTCAATTACATGGTTCCCACTTTATATCAAAATTGTAAATAACGTTAAAATAATTGTCAATCCTAAAAGGTACCTTCTTGGTTTCCAGGTCCCCCTTTCTTTTCATCTCAAAAGTTTGCTGTCAAAATTAAATGATCTTTAATTTAATTATTTTTAAAAATACAAAAACAAATTTATTCGAAGCGTAAATTGAACCAAAAAATTTTCAATAGAAATTTTTTACAAATCACTTAAATCAATTCACGCAATTAGATAATAGAACATTTGACCTTCTTGGTCTTCTCGGTCTTCTCGGTCTCCTTGGTCTCCTTGGTCTCCTCGGTCTCCTTGGTTTCCCTCGTCTCCTTAAGTGCCTTCTTTTCGTATTCCATATCTTCTAACTAAAAGAAAATTGTGTCAATTGATAAATGTTAAGAGAATAGGAAAAACTGACATAGAATAACGCGCCTTTCATCGATCGTCCAGCGACAATGTGATAACATTGAGTCCCTGTAAGCGAATGTGCCCCTGTAAGCGAAGTCTGAGACAAAAGCCATCGATATACCTACCTTTAAGACACAATCCGAGAAACTCATTGCGATATAATTTCTGGTAGGCAGGACCCCCAGAAAAACCGGGCATTTCCGCAGAAGTACCGCCAAAGTGACCGTATTTGTCAAACTTCTGGGAGGTGACAGTGCCCGGAAGAAACGATGGTTCCAGAATAGGATCCGCTGGCAAAGCCTTTTCGATCCCATCTCGATAGCCCTAAATTAAATTTTATCTTAAACCTTCTATATTTATTTGCTATTATATTAATTGATGATTATACTGAAAAATGAACCAAACGATTTTCCATATTAGTTATTTCTATGAATCCATTTTAAAAATAAGCAAAAGATGGTTAAATAAAACCTTAGCAAATTTGCTTTTACTTATTGAATAAAACCAACCATGATCAAATAGTCAGTACCAGCGATGACACCTGAAGAAATATATGGAACATCCTCGGCAAGCTTCTCATCCGATTCCAAAAGCAAAAAATCTCGTGGATCCTTGCATACCACCTTTGTCTCGAACTTATCTCCATCTAAAACTCCTTCATATAAACCAAATTTCTGTATAATAAATAGCAAGACAACCTTCGCAATAATAGCAATAATAAAAAATTTTTGCATACCTTCGTTATAAATATTCATAGCCGACCCTTCTTTAATGTTCTCATGCGCTCCATGGTTCCAAGTGGCAGCGAAGTGTCGGTCCGGACAGGAAGTGAGAGCGAAAACACCAACCGGAGCACGCAAAGAGTCGTTTTCCTCGATTTCTCCATCAGGCTTTGCAAACGACTTCGAATAAAAGAGAAATTTCCGTATTTCCTGAGCGAAGCTTCCTAAATAATATTATTTCAAAAGATAATTTAAACATCATTTCTTTTATTTTAAAAATTAGTGCTTTACGGATAAGGGGGTGGGGGGTAAGTTTTTTGGCCAACTTGCAGCCGGATTTTTTTGTTTTTGTCTAAATGTCTGATAGGTTTTTGTTAATAACTTTTGATAAAAGAAAGCTGGATTTTTGAAAGCTACCGTTATAAGCTATCTAAATCTTACTAAAACTTTTGACTTGACAAGTTTAAGGCGCTTAAAATGAGCTGCAAGATGGCCAAAAAAAACTATCGTAAAGAACCTAAAAACTGTTATCCGGAAAGAACCTAAAATTTCGTAATTTCAAAACTCGATATTTTTCATTAATTCGCATCTTAAATTCAAACATACCATTTTGCACAGGGTCTCCCACATTTGCCATTTTATTGAGCTTTGAAATCGAAAACACTAAATTAATTAATTAAAGATTTAAAGCAAATTAAAGGGTTAAAAGATTTAGCAGTTAGGCGAAGGTTTCGACGCAGAAAGTAAATGTTTGGAACCGTAGAATTTACTAAAACTTCCTTATTGTCTAGTAACGTATTACGGTTCCAAAAATTTACATTCTGCGTCGAAACCTTACCCAAGCTGCTAAATCTTTTAACTCAAAAAACACTAATTCCAAATGGTTGCCAAAATGAGAAGAATAACAAGACGATGCGCGGCTGGGTTAGATTGGCTGGCGTTTATAGAGAAAGGATGTTTAGATTTTTAATAACTTTATCGGCGATATGAAAGACACGGGTCTGAAGATCAACAAAGTGGAAAGACCGAGAAAAGTACAGAAACTCTAAAAATTTAACAATTTTAAGAAGAGAACAGGGACGGGATGGAAAAAAACAAGGAGAAGGGAACAATAAACACAAACAATATTTACAAGAGAATAGCACGAGTAGAACACGAGCGCAGAAGACAGGGCGAGGATTCTTCAAAAGAATAAATTTTTGGAGGGATGGGGCTTGGTTTTTATAGGGGAAAAAGGGAGACGCCGTCTTGAGTACGGTAGCTTAGGTGTATCTTAGAATTTAGCTGCAAAGTTGCCAACCCGTACTCTAACTGCGGGAATGGAGGTTTTTCTTGCTCCTGGCATTATACTATTCACATAAAAATACAAGGAGGAGGGAGGTTTTAACAATAAACAAGAATTACAAGAGATGGTAGCTTAGGTGTATCTTAGAATTTAACTGGAAAGTTACAACTTGAGATGAATGGCGCCAACGAGAGGACCGCGAAGTCGACATTCGGGATCAAAGCTCATGCGCAAAGAGGAAATCAACGCTTATCTCAATCAAATGGGTTGGTTCCTTTTCCTGATAGACTATAACATTTAAGTAATCGATAGACTATAATAAGCGGATCGCCGAGGCGAGTACACGATGTGTCGAGATTTTTCTTGCGCTTGGACAAACGCAACGGGCAATTCGAATGAACAAAAAGCTCAACTTCTAACATGACATGCTCGATGTTTGGACTAGGGCAGGTAATTCAAGTGTTGCAATGGTTATTACACGTTTTGTTTTTAGAGAGAAAGGGAGATTTGCAGACGAGGTCGTTGTCGATTGGGCAAGCGTTGGTTAAAGGTAGGCAACGCTGCGCTTGGCAAATGTCGAATTTGGCGCTTGCCTTAGACCCAGAGCTCTTCAGAAACATCTTTTTTACTCCCCTGAGATGACCAACGTTCAGTAAGTGTTAATTTATTCATTAGCCTCCTTTAATTTGTTTGTTTGTTGCTAAGTTCAAAATTTAGGGATGCGTTCATCATTGCTACAAGACAACTTAGTTGGGAACATCCATTAACGTTGAATTTGTTCAATCGCTGGAAGACCGATGGGAAATTTATTTTGCTTGACTTTTATGATTAATTTTAGCTACTCTCCCCAAAAGCAACACGAAGCCAGCTCAAATTGTGAACAAAGATGTTGCTGCGCCCAATGAAACTGGCAATGCACAACACGAACCGACTTCCAAAAAAGGTAGCTGTTTTTGGTTATCAAAACATTTGTTTTAGTTTTAACAATAAACAAAAATTACAAGAGATGGTAGCTTAGGTATATTTTAGAATTTAACTGGAAAGTTACAACTTGAGATGAATGGCGCCAACGGGAGGACCGCGGCGGAGAACGGAGGAGAACATGGGCGCAGAAGACACGGCGACAATTCTTCAAAAGAATAAATTTTTGGAGGGATGGGGCTTGCTTTTATAGAGGGAAGGGAAAAGGGAATAATAATGTTTCAATTATCTTTTAAAATAGTGTTATTTAGAACACTTCGATCAGAAAATGAAGAAATTTTAGCTTGATCCAAAATCGGCCGGACGGCCTAATGGAGACGCCACGTCTCCACCATGGGAACGTTAAGCCCTATCACACCTCATAACATTGAAGTTATTGCGAGAGTCCAAAATAGCACATATAATAAGACAACCGGTTTTCTAGTAAAGATTGAGCACAATGAAGATATGGCTTTTTCGAGAGCAAACAAATTTGTTATGTAGCCCTAGTGCAATTGCCGTGGCCAATCTGCGCTGGTAGCATTTAGATGTTTTACTAGCCTGTAAATTTGTTTTACTAAATTAATTATTGATTTTACTCGGTTTAGCAAAACGGTCTACTTGAGTGAAATGGTACAAGCCCCAGTTGTCTACAATAATTTCCTTGCGTACGCAATTATCGATTACGGTAAGAGGAGCGCGCCATAGAACTTCACTACGACAGATCTTTCCAATCTATCAAATCAATCTCATTGTAAGCAAATGTTCCTCACACAAACTTTATACGCAAACAATTTATTTAAAAAATCAAAAACAACAAATAGATAAGTAATCAACACGCAAACGAAGTCTTATTGTTTACAGTCCTCCTTTGTCTTGCCCGAAAAACCACCACCTCCACTTCTCAAATGAGCTCCCTTGCTGCCGAGTAGACCTGCTTAACGAGTCCGGGCAAAATTTTCAGACAGTCTGCCTCGCTCTTCGATCCTTTGCTGCCCGAAGCTTTTTCGAGCATGAACCCAGTCCCCCCCCCAACCCCTTATTTTAGGCTTCATTTTGATACTAAACATGGCTAGGTGCTGTTTTGTAATTCTTTAGATTTCGATCACACTTTCGCCGGACTCGTTAAGCTTAACGAGTCGAGAAAATTTTTAAGGGCTTGGGGGGGGGACTGGGTTCATGCTCGAAGAAGCTTCGGGCAGCAAAGGATCGAAGAGCGAGGCAGACTGTCTGAAAATTTTGCCCGGACTCGTTAAGCAGGTCTACTCCTTGATGAGCGCTTGATGTGCGATAGCTGTTGCGAAAAAATTCAAACGTACTATAAATCAATGTTTATGCTTACCAGGTTTCACATAGGTCAAACGGACATCATTTGGTTGTAGAGGTGGTGGGAGCTCTGCAAAGATGTTTGAATGTACAACTGGGATCACTGAACTAAAATAAAAATAAAATGTCTCATTAAAAAGTGGCTTAAAAACTTCGATCAGAGGAGAAAATCGATCGCCAAAACCATTTTGGATAGGGTGAGTTGGCTTGAAAGTGTCCTGAGCGCTAAAAAATTTAGCTTTCCAAAGATTAAAAAAATATGCTAAATAACACCAGTTTATATGCAACTCAGCAAGCAAAATAAAATATTTTAACATTAAAAGGCACGTCCATGATATGCTGACTGTTGCTCTTGCGAATCATAAGTAGCATGAAGCGTAGGCAGCTTAACATCTGGCTCATCATTTTCTGAGAGCTGACTTCCTCAAGCGGTGATGCTAAAAATTAGCATACAAATTATTGCGAAAATCCTCTTGTAAACTAGTTAATTCAATACCACCAAGACAAAAGATTGCAAAAAGACGGGTCAGCAAATGTTTTGATAACCAAAAACAGCTACCTTTTTTGGAAGTCGGTTCGTGTTGTGCATTGCCAGTTTCATTGGGCGCAGCAACATCTTTGTTCACAATTTGAGCTGGCTTCGTGTTGCTTTTGGGGAGAGTAGCTAAAATTAATCATAAAAGTCAAGCAAAATAAATTTCCCATCGGTCTTCCAGCGATTGAACAAATTCAACGTTAATGGATGTTCCCAACTAAGTTGTCTTGTAGCAATGATGAACGCATCCCTAAATTTTGAACTTAGCAACAAACAAACAAATTAAAGGAGGCTAATGAATAAATTAACACTTACTGAACGTTGGTCATCTCAGGGGAGTAAAAAAGATGTTTCTGAAGAGCTCTGGGTCTAAGGCAAGCGCCAAATTCGACATTTGCCAAGCGCAGCGTTGCCTACCTTTAACCAACGCTTGCCCAATCGACAACGACCTCGTCTGCAAATCTCCCTTTCTCTCTAAAAACAAAACGTGTAATAACCATTGCAACACTTGAATTACCTGCCCTAGTCCAAACATCGAGCATGTCATGTTAGAAGTTGAGCTTTTTGTTCATTCGAATTGCCCGTTGCGTTTGTCCAAGCGCAAGAAAAATCTCGACACATCGTGTACTCGCCTCGGCGATCCGCTTATTATAGTCTATCGATTACTTAAATGTTATAGTCTATCAGGAAAAGGAACCAACCCATTTGATTGAGATAAGCGTTGATTTCCTCTTTGCGCATGAGCTTTGATCCCGAATGTCGACTTCGCGGTCCTCTCGTTGGCGCCATTCATCTCAAGTTGTAACTTTCCAGTTAAATTCTAAGATACACCTAAGCTACCATCTCTTGTAATTCTTGTTTATTGTTAAAACCTCCCTCCTCCTTGTATTTTTATGTGAATAGTATAATGCCAGGAGCAAGAAAAACCTCCATTCCCGCAGTTAGAGTACGGGTTGGCAACTTTGCAGCTAAATTCTAAGATACACCTAAGCTACCGTACTCAAGACGGCGTCTCCCTTTTTCCCCTATAAAACCAAGCCCCATCCCTCCAAAAATTTATTCTTTTGAAGAATCCTCGCCCTGTCTTCTGCGCTCGTGTTCTACTCGTGCTATTCTCTTGTAAATATTGTTTGTGTTTATTGTTCCCTTCTCCTTGTTTTTTTCCATCCCGTCCCTGTTCTCTTCTTAAAATTGTTAAATTTTTAGAGTTTCTGTACTTTTCTCGGTCTTTCCACTTTGTTGATCTTCAGACCCGTGTCTTTCATATCGCCGATAAAGTTATTAAAAATCTAAACATCCTTTCTCTATAAACGCCAGCCAATCTAACCCAGCCGCGCATCGTCTTGTTATTCTTCTCATTTTGGCAACCATTTGGAATTAGTGTTTTTGAGTTAAAAGATTTAGCAGCTTGGGTAAGGTTTCGACGCAGAATGTAAATTTTTGGAACCGTAATACGTTACTAGACAATAAGGAAGTTTTAGTAAATTCTACGGTTCCAAACATTTACTTTCTGCGTCGAAACCTTCGCCTAACTGCTAAATCTTTTAACCCTTTAATTTGCTTTAAATCTTTAATTAATTAATTTAGTGTTTTCGATTTCAAAGCTCAATAAAATGGCAAATGTGGGAGACCCTGTGCAAAATGGTATGTTTGAATTTAAGATGCGAATTAATGAAAAATATCGAGTTTTGAAATTACGAAATTTTAGGTTCTTTCCGGATAACAGTTTTTAGGTTCTTTACGATAGTTTTTTTTGGCCATCTTGCAGCTCATTTTAAGCGCCTTAAACTTGTCAAGTCAAAAGTTTTAGTAAGATTTAGATAGCTTATAACGGTAGCTTTCAAAAATCCAGCTTTCTTTTATCAAAAGTTATTAACAAAAACCTATCTAAAATCGGGCTGCAAGTTGGCCAAAAAGCTTACCCCCCTCCCTCACCCTGTTATCCGTAAAGCACTAATCTTTAAAATAAAAGAAATAATGTTTAAATTATCTATTAAAATAATATTATTTAGGAAGGTTCGCTCAGGAAATGCGGCAATTTCTCTTTTATTCGAAGACGATCGCAGAGCTTGTTGGAGACCCTTTGAACCCTTTGGACCCTTTGAGGGTGATCTTCCGCGAAGACGACAATTTGCGTTATGCGGTTGGGGTGTTCAGGAGCGAGTTGTTTCCCGACGCACATTTTGCTGCCACTGCCTGCCATGGAATGCACCAGCACATCCCGGCAGGCGCGACTATGTATATCTACGATGAAGGTATGCAAAATTTTTTCTTATCATGAACTTTTATATTATGAATTAGTGTTATGTTTGTCCACTTGAATACGAATTTTTTATTAAGCTCTAGTGAAGGTTCATTTACTATTTATTATACGGAAATTGAGTTTTTATGAAGGACTTTTAGGTGGAGTCGGATTCAAAACAACGGTGTTATTCAAGAGTCCAGAAGAACAGAGGGACTTCTTGCTGTTGAGATTTACTACCAACCTTGTCGTGCCTCCTCCATTTGTTACTTCACCTGTCATGGGTGGTGCACACTATTTGCTCATGGTTGGTTTTATTCAATATATAAAAGTAAATTTGCTAGGGTTTTATTTATTTATAATAACCATCTTTTGCTTATTTCTGGGATGGATCCATAGAAATAACTAATTTGGAAAATCGTTTGGTTCAAAATAATCTTTCCGTATAATCAATTAATAGAATAGCAGATAAATATAGAAGGTTTAAGATAAACTTTAATTTAGGGGTACCCCAGTGGGCCCGTGAAGTCTTTGGAGCTAAATCAAAGGCCAACGCCTTCATTTCTTATGGGTATGGTGATGTGCGTGGACGAGGACGGACACGGGCACATTCCCGGTACATCTGGAGGAATGCCGGGTTTTTCGGGAGGCCCTGTCTTCACGATGCCAAATGGCGAACTTCTCGGAATGTGTCTTCGTGGCGGAGATTTCAATTGGATGCAAAGGACTACTTATCAAACATGTCTCTCGGATTTGGCATTTACGCTTCTCGAGGCTCACTATTGTAGAATTCTTCCTGGAACAACGCTCGAAGATACAGTGACCAAGATGTGGGCTGTTCAATTGGTCAGTTTTCCTTATTCTCTTAACATTTGTCAATTTACACAATTTTCTTTTAGCGACACCCGGTAGCTGCAAATGGCCAAGGACAAGCAAATGCAAATGGCCAAGGACAAGCAGCTGGATTTAACTAACTGATCTGTGAAAATCTTTATTAACTCAGTTTACGCTTCAAATAAATTTGTTTTTGAATTTTTGAAAATAATTAAATTAAACATCATTTAATTTTAACAACAGGCTTTTGAAATCAAATGAAAAGGAAGGATGGCCTGGAAACCAAGAAGGTACCTTTTAGAATTGTCAATTATTGGTGACCTGGCGGATACAATCCAATTGTTCTCTATTTTTTCAGGCTGATCGCATTTCTAAAGTATCACCAGATATTGTCGAATTCAATCTCTGACACATTTCCATTCATAGATAGATATAGCATACTTCTACTTGCCGTCAAAATATCGAAAAAACCAAATCTAAGACAGAAGTGTCCTAGATTTCGGCGTGCGAGAAAAATAAAAAAGCTTGTGTGTTCGGGTAGCGCAAGCTTTGGGTAGCGCAAGCTTCGGGTGACCCAAGCTTCGGATGGCCCAAGCTTTGGACAGCGCAATCTTCGCTTTCTTGCGCTACGCCTTCAAAACAAAGCTTGCGTTGGCGTCAGACAAAATGGCTTAGGCGAAATGGGGGGTAACTGATTTTCCATGAATGCTGTTAGCAATGTAGTGGTAGAGCCGAGTAGTAGAGCGCTCACCTACGAGTCTATTGCTGCCTCTTACTTTTTTCTTTCTTTTCTTTCTTCGGAAAACCTATTTTAGATCAATCCCTAAGCAACCTCCTTCCTCAATTTTAGATCAAAAAGATTAATTTTTCAAACAATTTTTACCAAAAACAACAAAATTAACGTAGCAAAAATCAAGAAACATATATCGATAAAATGAATGAAGCATAATTTGATTTTGCACTTAGCACAGCGCATAAAAGCCTGTGATCCAGAACTCATCGTCTCAATTTTCGTTATATGCCAAAAACGTTTTTGCCAAATTCCTCGCGATTCCGCGTCATTTTGCAAAAACCAAATACAGCATCGAAATCAGCGAAAAATTCTACATAGGATCGTCTAGGTCTCATTTTCCATCTCCACATCACCCCCGTGACCTTCCCTTGTCAGTATAGGGGGGCTACCGTATAGGGAGGCTACAATAAGCTGTTACAGTAAACAGCTACCGTAATCCTCACAATCAAAAATAGCACTTGAAGTGCAAGTAGTAAAAAGGCTCCATACTAAAGATTTATTTTCCAAATTTCCTCAAATTTGTCGTAACAAATGCCATTTATTTTTTGATATGGTGTGGGAATATTTATTGTCAAAAGAGATCAACAACTTTAGAGTGAAAAACGAAAATTAACCAATAGCTAACTAAACAATCAATCCTTTGTGGTTATTCGCAAGACGCACAAATCCCTCCAGAATCCTCGTTTGTTCCCCGTTCAGCCGGCATCTCTCCGTCATTCGCTGGGCTTGCAATTTGAGTTGAGCTCGAGGCAAATCACGGGACATTATCTAAAAATTTTGAATTATTTATTTAGGGATGAAAGTATGTTGATTTACTTGACTGTGCATCAACGGGAAAACGATAAATGTAAACGCAAATATAACCTCATACCATCTAGCTAAAGCTTTTAACAATAAGTTGAAAAGGTTATAATTCTTGATAATTGCATTTACCAAGAAACTATTCTACACTCAAAAGACTCGCCTCAAAAATGAAAGCAGCAAAATCGGTGTTCTTCTGTCGAAGTGCGTGATCAAAGAGCTCTTGAACGAGGCCGATCTTCAGTTGACCTTCTTGAACAACCTTTGGCACTTCGTTCTAAAGTATTTCATTTTTTTATGAAAAATGCTTTATTTTAACATTAGTCCAATTTTCTCACCTCCTTAACATCCTCCTCTTCAACCAACAACCGCACCAAGTCAATCGCCTTCTTGTCCTCTCCAATCTTTGCCAAAAGACATGCACATTCAATTATTTAAACAAAACTAATGATTGCTTTAAGATGAAGTCAAACTGTGCTCGGGTTGAGTTTTTGCTGTAGACGATTGCGATCCTTCTTATTGAATTCACTGTATTCGACGAGCGTTGACAATTTTATGCACAACTTGTGAGTATTCTTAACGTTCAGTGGGACTTAAAGCCTAATTAGGAAAAAAAATATCTAGAATACACAGTCGAACCTCGATATAACGAACTTTTTGGCCGGCCCCTTGAAGTTCCTTATATCGAAGTTTGACTGTATTTTAAAAGCTAACCGAGTAGTTAATCCCTTTGAGTAGAAGACGGAGATCAGATGAGACACGAACATCAGTCAACATTTGAGCACAAATTCCGTCTTCAGTCAAGCGTTTAACAAATGGCCAATTGTCTGAGTTCTAAATAAAGTTGTTTCATTTAAAAGTCATCAAATCTCCAGTACCTTTAGACGATTGATGAGCCTGGTGATGAGGAAATAAGAAACACCGACACGATTTGGAACATATTCCTGAAATAATATCATATTGTATTACTATCAATATTTTGTTTTTGATCAATCAAACGGAGACACACGTTATCGCTTGCATTCGATTACTCACCTTGTAGACCCTCTCGATTTCCTTTAAATCCCCAATTGTGTCAATGAAGAGCTGCAGGTATTTGTTGTAGAAACTGAATAGCTTATTTTGATTTAGAAACTTGATCAAACAAACCTGTTCTCAAAAGTGAACTCCGGAGCTTTGACTTTGTTGTTTGGTGTTTCGTAGAATTGCACAACTTTCTGCGCAACCTCCACATTTTTCGTCTCCTGACATATTGACATGGGAGTGAGAAAAAGGTGATGATCGTTGAGGGAGTTTGGCTAAAATTTTAATTCATAGATTAGGACATTCAGCCAATTCACTGACCTCATACGTTTCACCACCAATCCGAGTCATTGTCTCATTCAAAGCGGTGATTGCAAGCTGAAAATCCCATTGAAACATTTAACCGCTCAGACTTAGCCTTTAAATCATCTTCCTTAGGCTTGAAGTCTTTGTTATCCACATCTCTTGTTCGAATTTTTACAATTCCATTCAATAAATGATTGTAGGTTAACAAAGTGGGATGAATCTAAAGAAACAAAATGCTCAAGTTTTCCAAAATATTAATACCTTTAACAGTTTCATCTCTCCAAGAATTTTCCTCGCCGTTTTCTGGCGGTTATCTAACGGAGCCCAAATGAACAAGTATTTTTTTGTCAAATCTTTAAATAATTTACCGTCATGTTGCTCTCCAGTAAAGCATTGAATGTGTTTACATCTGGTTTTACTGATAGGTGATTCATCTTTTGGAGCAATTTGAGAGACATTTTAATCGAAAGATGAGAATTTTCAGACAACAACTTTTAACCCTACCGAAAACTGAGATTTTGCTATCAAAGCATTAAAAGCCTCAACACAAGGAGTGGCACCAGATGAAAGAATTGCCTAAATACATAAATTTGACCTAAAATTCTTATGATTAACCTGGAATAGTTGATTTGCTTTCTCCGTACTTTGAGTATGCTTAATAATCCCACAAATCATTGCCGATTTGACCTCGGGAGTTTGTTCAATTGATTCATACAGCAAGGAAATCACATCGTCCTGAAAATTGTTACAAATTAAGAAAAAAGAAAGAGACTAAATTTCACCTTCCATTTTGGTGGATCAGCTTCTCCAAAGGTTCTCAGCCCGTGCCATTCCAATTCCTCGTAGAACGGCACATTTTCTCCACCATAATACGCCAAGAGAAGGAAGAGATCTTTCTAAAAGATAAAAATCAAAGTTTATCTGAAATTGATCGTTCGTTTTTTGAAAAACTAAACCATATTTTACCTTAACACCTTCAGAAACATTAATGTCTTTCTCGCGAATTTTCTCGTACAAAATGGTCGCGTCTTTAACTTGTCGCTTCTCAACTAACATCCGGAGATTCCGCTCATTTGGATCCATCTGTAAACAAACTTTGTTGCAAACAAGTTATACACAATTTGGTTTATTGTTGATATTAAAACAATATTTTTTATATCTATAACGATATGTTTCGAGCTTGCTAAAGATGTCGCATTAATTAGTCAATTTTAGGGTGCAATCAAGTTCGTACTAAATAGATCACATATTATGTGTCCAGGTTTGACAAGTCCAGAAGCGAAACTTCTCGAAAATGTTCCAAAAGGGCAGGTATGCATACTTTGTTAATGCTATTACTTAGATTTAAAAAATACAATTCGGAATTTTATTATCTGCTTTAGTTGAGACACTGATTGAGCAAGCCATCCATGCCAAGACGAATAGGAATAAGCGAATCGTCAAGACGGGTACATGATGTGTCGACATTGTTCTTGCGCTTGGACAATCGCAACGCGCAATTCGAATGAACAAAAAGCTCAACTTCTAACATGACATGCTCGATGTTTGGACTAGGGTAGGTAATTCAAGTGTTGCAATGGTTATTACACGTTTTGTTTTTAGAGAGAAAGGGAGATTTGCAGACGAGGTCGTTGTCGATTGGGCAAGCGTTGGTTAAAGGTAGGCAACGCTGCGCTTGGCAAATGTCGAATTTGGCGCTTGCCTTAGACCCATCTTTTTTACTCCCCTGAGGTGACCAACGTTCAGTAAGTGTTGATTTATTCATTAGCCTCCTTTAATTTATTTGTTTGTTGCTAAGTTCAAACTTTAGGGATGCGTTCATCATTGCTACAAGACAACTTAGTTGGGAACATCCATTAACGTTGAATTTGTTCAATCGCTGGAAGACCGATGGTAAATTTATTTAGCTTGACTTTTATGATTAATTTTAGCTACTCTCCCCAAAAGCAACATATCATGGACGTGGATCATGGATGTTAAAATATTTCATCTTGCTCGCTGAGTTGCATATAAACTAGTGTTATTTAACATATTGCTTTATTCTTTAGAAAGCTAAATTTTTTAGCGCTCAGGACACTTTCAAGCCAACTCACCCTATCCAAAATGGGGTACTTGTGGAGTATCCGGGGGGGTCTTTCAATATCCGGGGGGGTAAAATTTCATCATCATTTCATCGCATCACGCTCGGAAAGCGCGCTCACCTCAGAATATCGC